GCTGCTGCTGCTATGACTACTACTACGACGCTGCTTCTGCTGCAGTTAAAACGGCGCGAGTGCCAATGTTGCCAAACCGGCCGAGATTAGGATTCTGATTTGCGAAAGTAATGGAGTTCGCTGAAGTACTGGTAAGCTTTACACTTTACTCTACTCAGAATTATCCATATTCTTCGTTGGACTTACTAGCTTAACACAGCTGACACTTGTGCAGACAGTCTTTTTTATGCCGCTGTGCGTGGGACTACAACGTTTCTCAGAACAGCACTAGCATGCACTAGTGGTGCGAATTATAACGGTAGCATGTATATTTTGTACAACGGTTCCTGGGTTTTGGTACCGGGAACTAGTCTACTCCAAACAATACTTCCCCTAGTATTCGTGTTAACTAGCGTCACCCCATCTCTTGCAGTGGCACCAATGTCTACCAGCCAAAAATGTAACAGCAGCAAGACCACTCACATGCCTCTTCGTGGACTCTCCGGCACTTCAGTCTAGCGGCAGCATGCGGCTGCAGGGTCGATCCCCCCCTCGGAGACTTCACCGCACAGGCACATGTTACACCATTTGCGCAATCGAAAATTGCAGTAGATTGCAATGGATGCTAGCCAGTGCTTCCCTGCGAGTTGAGGCAAAGTCGAGTCGCCAGGGCTTCGTTTAGCTCGACAGGCTTGTCTACTCATCTGGCCAAACTCCAGAACAAGCCAAGGTGGATGCCTGCCAGTCTCAGCTTGCACCCCCACCGTGACTAGCAACTCTTTTGCCGTAACTGTTACTTTATATTTAGGCAGGTGCAGTTTCTGGACTGATGGCTAATTTCAATGCTCTCGCCAATGCGAGTGCATTCCTCGCACATCGCTCCACAGCGACAAGGCGAGCAGCTTTTCGTTCGAATTGTTCTCGAAACCAAACCAGCAAGCCACAAAGAGCGAGTGGAATGCGTGAGAGTGGATTTGGAAATCTGGCTCGCGGCTTTAGAAGTAGTCATCGGACGTCTGCGGTAAGCCCCAAATCCACCCCGGATGCAGAGCATTATCAGAACGTCCGCGAACAAGTCTAGTCTATCTTCGCCTTTGCTGAACTAGACAAACGGGCAATACGCGGCCACAGAGCGGCAACAGTGTGCACCTGAACCAGTTCGCACTACACTGACCAGAAAGCGGCGGTGACACACAAACTGCGCCCCGGGTCTCTGGCCACGACATGTATCATCAGCAGCGACTCTGCGATCGGGCCAGTTGCAATGAAGTTTCCGGAACAGCAGCTTCATATGCTTTGGAAGATCTCAACTGCTTTCCTACGATTCTTCGTCGTTGTCACGATCTCCGCGCATTACTGCAGCAAGCGAGACACGTGCCAACTGTTGGAAGTGAAACGCCCGCTCACAAATCTCTTCCTGCCGCTCCTGGACCAAATCAGGTTCAGTTCTGGCAAGCTGAAAATTAGCCATTGTGCATGTCTACAATCGTAAAACCGCGAGTGGTGCGTAAGCGTATAGAGAAACTATTTGTCATGTGCATATGCATGTGGACATGAATGATCTTGATGGGCAGACATGCATTTCGCAGATAGGTAGATACATAGATAGATAGACAGATAGATAGATAGATAGATAGATAAACAGACAGATAGACAGACAGACAGATAGATGGATAGATAGATTAAAAAAGTAGATAGATAGACAGATAAATAAATAGATAGACAGATACCCAGATAAGTACATGTACTTTGCTGACCTATTCTCCAAAACAATGCCCCCCCAGGTCCCAAGTTTGCCACTAACTACAGTAAGAATTCTGTAGGAAGCGCGCGCACACACACACACACACAACGACGCGCTTACACACACCCATTGCAAAGGTCGCATGGAGGCCGCAAATTGGATCTGAACTGTCTGTCTCCGCCTGCATCTATGCGCATGTGTCTGTATGTGAAAAGTAAGGAAGAGCACAGCAACGTACAGCAAACGACCCAATCCGAGGATGGGCCTTGCAAAAAGTGGTGTCCCAGAATGAAAGAAGATTGTTTCGGCCCTGTTTGGGTCTGGAAGACCCAACTACTTTCGTATGGGGAAAAGGGACTAGATTGAAAGAAAATCATTTCGGTGAGCTTCAAAGTTGCCTTCGAAATTTGCTTGCTGCTTTAATACAGAAGCAACGCTTTCTGAAGCAGTCAAGCTTTTTCCAAAAGCTGAGGCCCTTCAGAAAGCTAGGCTTTCTTATTCAAGGCCTTATAAAATGAAGCAATCTTTATCCCTTCCTAAGCTACCTCTTAGGGGGCCTGCCGGGCAGCAGGCCGAAGCAAATTTATAAACGGGACCACGTCTTTGGCAAGACCCCGGGCCGGGCCCGGCTAGAGATTCAATACACTGCCCTTATGTTTATAGAGCCCAAGGAGCCGGGATGAGCCAACAGAGATTCCATTANNGTAGGGGGGGGGGGGGACCCCTTCCTATTTAGATGCTCGGATTAAGCTCAAAGCCGACATGTAGGCCCGACCTTGTTGATGGAGAGGTCGTTCTCCTCATCATCATTCATCATATTCTCCATGGCCGCGGCCATGAGAATGCCAACTGTGCGCAGGTACCTTTCTGCTTGGCAGTGCCTATGTTTCAAGACTCGCTTGCCTTCCCTGCCAGACTAGTCAGCCATGACACATGTAACTGTAGCCACCGGTCTCGATCACCAGCCGCAAAAACTTTGCGACGTCCACATAGGTGTAAAGCGCTGCACCTTTACATTCGCAAACCAGGCTCCCCAAAGACTTTCTAACGATGTGTTTCATGTTGCTGCCATGCTAAAGTAGCTTACTACTGCTTCGTTCTGCCCACCAGAACTTCATGTAACAAAGCTCGGACTCTCTATGTGGCCTGCCTTGAGCAGCAAGCTGCCCCCGATGCCACCATTGTGTCCACAATGCGATTTCACAAAGCCAGGTTCCTTCACCTGGATGGAGCAACAGCACGCGTGCACGACATCGCAGGCCGCATCGTTGATGCTACTGTTGACCCGAAACCCATCATGCAAAGTAAACTCACAGGGGAAGTCGGCTTTGATGACGGCTTCGCTTCAGCTTAAGGTTCCTGAATTCTGAGCAACTGGTACCACAGAGGAATGCAGCTAAACATATTGATAACGCCGGTGACGAAACACTGGCGCAAACAGGCCCTGCGGTCGAGCAGCTGATTTCCATCGCCATGAACTGCCTTGCCAATGCTTCACTAGGCGTTGCTCTCAAACTGGCTCGGAGTTTTAGAGTAGCTCTTCCAAAGGTTGCCGCCTTTCATAATCATTTTTCACCGGCAACTTCGATTTTGAAACTTGGCGGACTGCAGCTTTTGACGTTACCTGCTCCTGTTTGTTTGCAACTGACCAGTTGCTTCATCCTGTCTAAGAAGATTCCCCGATGTTTCACCTGTTCCTAGACGAGGACGCCATCTGCTCCAGAATCCAAAGACAATAAAATTTCATTCAAACAAAATTATCGACCCACTCGAAACTGGGTTAGCAGTAACACACCATATCCACAGGTAGGGAACGGCCATCCACTTCCTCAGGTCCTCCGGGCGGGCAAGGTGGGGTATCGACTGTTACAGGTCGACGCCCGACGTGACTTCCTCCATACGAAGCCTGCCGCACTAGACCAACAGCCGACATAGGGTCCAAGCGTCGTTTCTCCCTCCTGCCAGCGACCACTACATGCCACTAGCCGTGAAACAACGGATCAACGGAATGCAATCAGCAGGCTGGGCATCCTCTTGCACCCGCAGAAGCACGCGGCTTATCGGCGCAACCCGCGCTATCGGGCATGCATCCTGGACTCCTCTCGTCTTTTCCATGTCATGTGCTGCGCTGCTTGCAGAGGACGACACCCTTTTCCATCGGCAGCAAGGCCGGGAGCAAGTCACGTCATGAGGACCAACCGACCAACCCAGGCTGGGCTTGCCCAGGCTCTGCGGGCCCAAAGGCGGATTCCTACATAGCCTCTCGCCTCACAATCTGCTGGCGCACAGCAAGAGAAATCAGTTCCAAGCAAAGAAGTCTTCTGGCAGCAGAGGTTATAGGTCGATGCCGGACGCCCGACGAATCCATTGATTTGTTGCAACTGTCGGACACACCATCAACATGCAAGCAGAAGGGAACCGTAGAATGCGAGAAAGAGCGGTGTACAATGGGAGATAGAACGGGAGCATGTAGTGACAATTTGCCCAAGACTATCCAAGACTACCGAAATGCCCGCCGGATTCCGTCAGATCGAAGGTGTAAGAGGTGTGCGGTTTACGTGCTTGTGGCTGAGCTGTGGAAGCCTGAAGCCAACTGTTCACTCGCTCATTCACTCACTCATGGTCTTAGACCTAAAATTCAATTCGACTGGAACCCTGAGGTCTTGAATCCTCTTGCCCTGCCGCCAAAGCCATGGCTATCTCAGCAAGGTTGCGCTGCAGCGCGTCTGCGGGCCCTCTCACTTCCACTTCCGTTGGATGAAGCGGAAGAGAGAGTCGCCACCGAGGATGAAGGCATCCTCAAGTCTCAGGCAAAAGACAACACACTTATGGAGCTGGCTCGCAGCACGAAGAATTACGGCATATCCTACGGGCATCCGATGGCAACTCGAAAGCAGACCCTTTATGTAGATCCGGTGCTGTCCGTGTGAACCTGTCGACACAACTTCCTCGCCAGGGTGCATCACCAACTCACCGGTCGTGTAGGTCATGCTGCCATGGTTCAGGATGATCGCCCCCGTGCAGTCCTAAGTTCAGACTTCATGCCAGAATCGGCTGTCTGCTGCGCACATGGCAACAAGAGGCGCGGCATCCACATGCAAGGTGAGTGTCGGTGCCGGGTAAGAACACATCCTCGGATCTCCTCGTACATTTCTCGCACAAAGCCAGGTGGCCTCTCAGGGTTGTCTGCCAGCTGTGATCATGGTCGTTCTGCACGAGATGGGCAAAGTGGGCAAGCAGGAGTGCAGGTGCATGTTTGTGCGTGCGCGTGTGTGTCGGTATGTATGAATGCATGTATGCAAAGAATGTGATGTGTAGTGACATGATGGGGTGTGGTTTGACGTCCTGATGTAATGTTTCGCCAAGTAGTACGCTGTTGTGTCATGTAATGTAAGTCAATGACATGTAATGTTACGTATTGTTTTTGGAATGCTATGCAGTGGAAAGCCATGCTATGTGTTCCGAGTGATGTGATGCAATGCCATCATGCATGCATGCATGCATGCATGCATGCATGAATGCACGCTTGTACGCATGCACGTATGCTTGAATGGTTCTACTGTAATCATGTAATGTACCGCAATGTCGTGCGCAAAGTAGCGTAAAACTGTGCAAAGCATAAGGTAATGTCATGTATACTGCAATGTGGGGCATGTATGTATGTATGTATGTATGTATGCACGTATGTACGTACATATGTGCGTACGAACGGATGTGCGTACATGTGTACATAGTAATGGCATAGGAACGCAGGCACTGTACGAGGTAGTAGGTAGGTTGGTAGATAGGTAGCTAGCTAGGTAGGTATGTAGGTAGGTAGGTAGGTAGGTATGTAGGTAGGAGGTAGGCAGGCAGGTAGGTGGGTGGGTGGGTCGGTGGGTGGG